AATATCAACCTCTGCTCTTCGTTTAGTCTTTTCTCTACACCCCCTTGGTTTTATCCCCTGCTCATCCTTCTTTCTTCTTCTTTTTATTACCTTTCGAAAGTGCATCTAGATAATAATTCAAGCTTTTGTCTTTATAATAATAAGCATTTAAAGAAATTAATTCTACATTACTGCTGTAGCATCCACTCACAAATTGTTTTGGTATGATGTGTTTCCATTTTCAGTCCTCCACGACCTGGCAGGAGAGCAGACGCCCTGGGCGCCCCCGTGCGCCCGACGGGCTCTCGTGTTGTCACCAGGACAGCACGTTCCGCAGGGCCTTCCGCGCCCCTTCCACAATCTGCAAGGGAGTAGCAGCCTGCTCCGAAGGGTGCCTCCCACCCCTGGCCTCCCTTGGCTCATTGGGCCACCATCATGTGCCCCAGGCCCTGTCCCGGGGAGGGGGCGCAGCAGAGGACTGCACGGACGCACCTCCGTCTCCCGAGGACACTGCCGCCAGGGGAGGGCCTGTGACACTCACCAGGTAGCAGGGGGAAGGAAGGGGAGTGAAGATCATGTCTCCAGGAGCGTTTGGTGGGCTGGTGGGACCAACAGGACCTCCTTGGAGAGCCCAGCGAAGTTCCTGTCTCTGCCGCTCGGTCACAAGGGGACCAAGGGCCTGGCCCTCCACGCCCCTTCAGCCCCTCTTCCGCCGCTGCCCGTCCTTCCTCCGTCCTCGGCCAGGGCCCAGTGCAGGGTGTTCCAGCAGCAGTGGATACATTTCTGGTAGGTCACGTCCCCTCTGTTCCTCCTGCCTGGTCCTCCCACCCTCAGTGGCTCCCTCCTCCTGTTCTTTCCCATGCCCTCCCAGCAGCCTCCAGCAGCTTTCGGCCTGCTGAGCAGAGAAAATAGAGGTGATCAGGGAGATGGTGAGTTGTCCTTTGCCTGGGATATCTGGGACAGTGGCGTCCTCGTGGGCCCCCTCCTTCGTTCCATTCACACGATTGTGTACCTGGAGGCCCTGGGTAGGTGTTTGGGTCCAAATGGGTCGTCACAGCCAGGATGGTGAGCCTGCTGATGGCGTCTAGACTCTAAATGAACAGCAGAGGTTTTTCCTTGATAGGGTTATGTGAAGTGCCGTGTCTGTGGCACACTGAGATATCTGGCGAATGTTGGGCAGGTGATTTGGGCCTGGAGGGCTTGAAAAATGTGAAGGAGACAGGGGAAGGCTCGCTGGGCTATGTTGGGAAGCAGAAGAGCAGAGGAGAAAGCTCATCATTGCCTAGTCCTACTGGGTCAAAAGCCATCTTTGACCCTGGGGTCCAAGCAATGCTGGCAATTTGTGCCCCTATTGCCAACCAGGTCTGTGAGGTCCAGCCCGGTGTCTTCAGGGACCTCCCTGCTAACAGTTTCTGAAGGGGAATGGAAGTAGGTGGCCCGCAGTCTTCTATTTGTTCTGAATGGTACTGCTGTTAGGGAAAGCATCTCTTCCATTACCGGGAGGACACAGGGCTGATCTTGTGAGGCGATCATGGGCCGCGCCCTGCATGAGACTCAGCTGCTGCTTCAGGCCATTCTGTGAGGCGAGAAGCCAAGAAAGCAAGACTGCAAGCAGACAGTGATGGAGGGAAGTAAGTTTTTGGGGCTTCGGAGGCCTGAGCAGGGGCAGTCACCAGCCTCGGGAGTGGAACACAGTGGGGTGAAGATTTCCTGCAGGAGGCATGCCTGGAAGGATGAAGAAAGAAATTGGCCAAAAAATAGAGAAAACGAGAAGACGTCACTACCAGAAGCCCAGGAAGTAACGTGAGTTTCTGCAACGGGAAATAGGTAGGCCCAGTTTTGTGTTCCGGTTAATAGCAGTCAAGGTCAGTGACGAGGTCCCAGTCGGGCTTAGACAACTGCGCCTCACGGAGACACTGAGCCCCTCCTTGTGTTTGGAAGCAAGAGTTTTTGTTTTTGAAAAAATTTTGGTAATAGTCCATTGATTATGTTTCCATTGTGATTCATGCATTTTGTGTCCTACCTAAGATATCGTTGTCCTACCTAAGATATCACGACAGAGATGTTCTCATCTGTTTTTTTGTAGGTTTTAATATTTGACAGATTACACTTAGATCTAGGATTCATTTTGACTTAATGTTTGTTTACAGTCTGAAGTGTTTAAGTTGTTTTTTTTTTCCCCCCATAGGGAGATCCATTTTTTCCAGCACCATTAGTTAAATATTAGTTAATTTAATTATCTTAAAGCCTTTGTTAGAAACCACCTTAGTATACATCTCTAGTTCTATTTCTAGGCTTTCTATTTATCCATTGATCCATATGCCTCTTCTCCTGATAAGACTATGCTGTCATGTTACCATATCCTTATACGAAATCAGAGAGTTTGGTGATGTAAGTACTGCATCTCTGTTCCTCTCCTTTTGGAACATGGCAGGCTTTGGCTATTCTATGTCCTTTTGCAGCTCCATACAAGTTTGAGAAATAGCCTCTTCATTTTATTCATGATTATGGTGAATCTATAGATCAATTACTAGAGAACTGACACCTTCACCTGAGTCTTCTGATCAATGAACATAATATATCTCCATTCATTTTGGTCTTTCATTTCCCTCAGCAATATTTGATAGCTGTCTGCATGAAGGTCTACCACGTATTACATGAAAATACTTCATAGGTACTTCATTGCTTTGACTGCAATTGTAGATGATATTGTAAAAATTTATCTCCAGTTATTTGCCCCTGGTATATTGAAATACAGTGGATTTTTGTATATTGAGTTTCTATCCTGTGACCTTGTTAAATCACACATTATACTAGGAGATCTTTTTGTCCTCAATTACTTAGTATTTTCTTGTAAGACTGACAATTCAATTTGTAAATGGAAGAGCTCAAGGTCCCCTAGGTGGTTAGAACAAGGAGTGCGTGGCAGTGCACCAGCGAGTCCGCGTGCATGTGGGCTGGCAGAGGGAAGCCCTTCTGCTGTGCGGCTGCGGAGCCCACAGGCCTGTGTGAGGGGAGGCGGGAAGTCCTCGCGGCCCCAGAGCCAAGAGCGCCGAGTGGACGATGCAGGCAGAGGGGAAATCGGCGGCAGAGGCGTTCCTTTCCGGAGGCCACGCGCAGTGCTGTGTGTGGTGCCAGTCGGCGTCTGGTGGGCAGTGGCAGGTGGTTCTGGGCAAAGAGGACGTGGGCAGCGAGGGCCAGACTGGAGCCCCCAGCCATGGTGGGGCTGCACCAGGGGAGGGGAGCAGGGCTCGGGCTCCTTGTCGCCAAGTCCCGCTACGTCAATCCCGTCTCTGCCGCTTGCGTTGCAAGTGTGACTGCTGGGCTGTGCCCTGTGTTATTCACCGGTTTCTGCACTTCATTTCTTGTTTCAGCAAATATTCGCATTGCAAACGCGCAGCAGCACAGGCGCACACACAAGTACAAGCACAGCCATGCCCATGCATGCTCTGACACTCTCTGACATCTCACCTATGAATGCGATGGCTGAGGTCGCGGTCGGGACAACAGCTGTAATACAAAGGAACAGACACTGCACAGGCCCTCCAGCCCCAGCGAGTTGCCACCCCGCTTCTCTTCTGGACATGCCGAACCCCACGATGTGAAGTCGCAGCCCCTTTTGGAGAAGCAGCAACACGGAGCTGAGCTTCCTCACGGAGTTAAGGCCCAGCTCTGGAGGACAGGGGCGGTGAGGAGACCGGTAGTACCTCGCCATCAAAAACCTACAGACACGCCCGATCTGAAGACTCCATCACTCTACGATTAATAGCTTCATCTGTTCTGTGCCTACGGGTCCCACCTTCCTGTTCTCCGGGGATATGGGACGAGAGCGATGGGACTTTGAAACGCTGCTGCCTACCGGACCCCTACCCCGCCTGGGTTTCACTGGTGCTCAAAAGAGAGTGGACCTCTGAGCAACTAAGGGTGGTTAATTCACACAGCAGGCCCTGCCCAGCGCCGTCCCCTCTCTTGTCTTTATGTAGAGGGCTACGCAAGTTGGAGGAGGAAGGAGAGACTATTTGGGTGTTCCTGTGCCCTAGTTAGTCTTTTTGATCTGAAAAGGCCCGCCCTGACAGAAGAGGACAAGACAAAGTGAAAACGGAAGCATACGTTGGAGCGATGCGGCCACAAGCAAAGGGATGCCAGCAGCCACAACAAGCTGGAAGAGGGGAAGAAATTCTCTCACTGAACGTTTGGGGGCAGTGTAGTCCTGGTGCCATTTTGAGGTCGGCCCAAGGAAATTGATGATGAACTTCGGGCCTCTGGAACTGTGAGAGAATAAATTTGTATTGTTTTAAGCCAACAAATACAAAATAAATAAAAGGCACATCCTGTATCATTGTCCATTGTTCTGGTGATGCTTGGTGTTGCAGTTTCTAGCAGGGTCCCTCCACCATGTGAGGTTAAAGGGACAAATATACTCCAACCCCTCCACATCCACTTCTCCTGCAGCTATTCTGTCGCAGTGCATGTCAAGGTCGCCTTAGCAATGCAGAACAAAGGAAAGGAAAGCCCTTATCGCATGAGAAGGACAGTGTGCAGCTGGAGCCCAGCTGGTCTGTGGAAGGGTTCTGACTTGGGGTGCCATGGGTGCTTGGGAGCTGTCTATTAGGTTAGGGGTCGAAGACCTTTCTTTAAAACCCACAGGTTCTTCTCGCACGTGACCGTCGGCCCCCCATGCAGACAGGGCTCTGTTAGTGTCAGACATGAAGGCCGTGTGCAGGGCTGGGGCTGGGAGGGGAGAGGTGCCATTGCCCCTTCCTCACTCCTGCACATCGGCGCGCCATGAGGGTGGGAGCTGGCAGCTGTGGGAAACTCAGTGTGGGTGGCCACGGCCCTCGCACCCAGGACTGGGGACAAGCAGCACAGCCCCAAGGAGGAGGCCGGACAGCCCAGGAGGGCTGAGGAAGATGCTGGAAGATCCCTCCCTCCATCCAACCACCGCCAATGCTGACCACCCCCAGTTCGCCCGAGGACGCTGGGCTCAGTGTGGAGAGTCACAACAGAAGCCACGAAGCTCAACGGGTCAAGCAAGCCAGCGTTTATTTCAGGCCCCACAGAGACAGCGGGGAAAGCAGCGGCGTGAGGCTGCAGCGAGGGCTTGCTCGGCGTTCATGGCTCGTGACTGCGGCTCCTCCATGGTCTCAGTTCTCCAGCCTCTGGTATCCTCCCCTAGAGAGGAAGGAGTGAGGAGTGGGCTCCGGGAGCCCTGGGGAACCGAGGCCGGCCTGGGTTCCCTGGGGAAGAGGAAGGGGAGCAGGTGTGCTCGGCTGGGCGGGGACAGGGCGCAGAGAGAGAGGAGGCGGAGGCGCCCTGAGCTCCCACCTGAAGGACCTGGTGAAGCATGCCAGGGCTCTCCGGAACCGGCGCCTCCACGACCCTGGCAGGAGAGCAGACGCCCTGGGCGCGCCCGTGCGGCCCGACGGGCTCTCCGTGTTGTCAGCCAGGACAGCACGTTCCGCAGGCCCTTCCGCGGCCCCTTCACAATCTGCAACGGGAGTAGCAGCCTGCTCCGAAGGGTGCCTCCCACCCCTGGCCTCCCTTGGCTCATTGGGCCACCATCATGTGCACCCCAGGCCCTGTCCCCGGGGAGGGGGCGCAGCAGAGGACTGCACGGACCCACCTCCGTCTCCCGAGGACACTGCCCGCCAGGGGAGGGCCGTGACACTCACCAGGTCAGCAGGGGGAAGGAAGGGAGTGAAGATCATGTCTCCAGGAGCGTTGGTGCTGTGGGACCAACAGGACCTCCTTGGGAGCCCAGCGAAGTTCCTTCCTCTGCCGCTCGTCACAAGGGACCAAGGGCCTGCCCCTCCACGCCCCTTCAGCCCTTCTTCCGCCCGCTGCCCGTCCTTCCTCCCTCCCTCAGCCCAGGGCCCAGTGCAGGTGTTCCAGCAGCAGTGATACATTTCTGGTAGGTCACGTCCCCTCTGTTCCTGCCTCGTCTCCCACCCTCCAGTGGCTCCCTCCTCCTGTTCTTTCCCATGCCCTCCCAGCAGCCTCCAGCAGCTTTCGGCCTGCTGAGCAGAGAAAATAGAGGTGATCAGGGAGATGGTGAGTTGTCCTTTGCCTGGGATATCTGGGACAGTGGCGTCCTCGTGGGCCCCCTCCTTCGTTCCATTCACACGATTGTGTACCTGGAGGCCCTGGGTAGGTGTTTGGGTCCAAATGGGTCGTCACAGCCAGGATGGTGAGCCTGCTGATGGCGTCTAGACTCTAAATGAACAGCAGAGGTTTTCCTTGAGAGGGTTATGTGAAGTGCCGTGTCTGTGGCACACTGAGTATCTGGCGAATGTTGGGCAGGTGATTTGGGGCCTGGAGGGCTTGAAAAATGTGAAGGAGACAGGGGAAGGCCTCGGCTGGGCTATGTTGGAAGCAGAAGAGCAGAGGGAGAAAGCTCATCATTGCCTAGTCCTACTGGGTCAAAATCCATCTTTGACCCTGGGGTCCAAGCAATGCTGGCAATTTGTGCCCCTATTGCCAACCAGGACTGTGAGGTCCAGCCCGGTGTCTTCAGGGACCTCCCTGCTAACAGTATTCTGAAGGGGAAGTGGAAGTAGGTGGCCCGCAGTCTTCTATTTGGTTTCTGAAATGGTACTGCTGTTAGGGAAAGCATCTCTTCCATTACCGGGAGGACACAGGGCTGATCTTTGTGAGCCGATCGTGGGCCGCGCCCTGCATGAGACTCAGCTGCTGCTTCAGGCCGTTCTGTGAGGGAGAAGCCAAGAAAGCAAGACTGCAGCAGACAGTGATGGAGGGAAGTAAGTTTTTGGGGCTTCGGAGGCCTGAGCAGGGGCAGTCACCCAGCCTCGGGAGTTGGAACACAGTGGGTGAAGATTTCCTGCAGGAGGCATGCCTGGAAGGAGTGAAGAAAGAAATTGGCCAAAAAAATAGAGAAACGAGAGAGCGTCACTACCAGAAGCCCCAGGAAGTATCGTGAGTTTCTGCAACGGGAAATAGGTAGGCCCAGTTTTCTGTTCCAGCGTTTAATAGCAGTCAAGGTCAGTGACGAGGTCCCAGTCGGGCTTAGACAACTGCGCCTCATGGAGACACTGAACCCTCCTTGTGTTTGAGAAGCAAGAGTTTTTGTTTTTGAAAAAATTTTGGTAGCAGTCCATTGATTATGTTTCCATTGTGATTCATGCATTTTGTGTCCTACCTAAGATATCCTTGTCCTACCTAAGATATCACGACAGAGATGTTCTCATCTGTTTTTTGTAGGTTTTAATATTTAACAGATTACACTTAGATCTAGGATTCATTTTGACTTAATGTTTGTTTACAGTCTGAAGTGTTTAAGTTGTTTTTTTTTCCCCCATAGGGAGATCCATTTTTTCCAGCACCATTAGTTAAATATTAGTTAATTTAATTATCTTAAAGCCTTTGTTAGAAACCACCTTACTATACATCTCTAGTTCTATTTCTAGGCTTTCTATTTTATCCATTGATCCATATGCCTCTTCTCCTGATAAGACTATGCTGTCATGTTTACCATATCCTTATACGAAATCAGAGAGTTTGGTGATGTAAGTACTGCATCTCTGTTCCTCTCCTTTTGGAACATGGCAGGCTTTGGCTATTCTATGTCCTTTTGCAGCTCCATACAAGTTTGAGAAATAGCCTCTTCATTTTATTCATGATTATGGTGAATCTATAGATCAATTACTAGAGAACTGACACCTTCACCTGAGTCTTCTGATCAATGAACATAATATATCTCCATTCATTTTGGTCTTTCATTTCCCTCAGCAATATTTGATAGCTGTCTGCATGAAGGTCTACCACGTATTACATGAAAATACTTCATAGGTACTTCATTGCTTTGACTGCAATTGTAGATGATATTGTAAAAAATTTTCATCTCCAGTTATTTGCCCCTGGTATATTGAAATACAGTGGATTTTTGTATATTGAGTTTCTATCCTGTGACCTTGTTAAATCACACATTATACTAGGAGATCTTTTTGTCCTCAATTACTTAGTATTTTCTATGTAGACTGACATTCAATTTGTAAATGAAGAGTTTTTGTTTTTCTTTCTTTCTTTCTTTCTTTTTTGCTCTGTTGCCGGGGCTAGAGTGTCATGGCATCAGCCTAACTCAGAGCAACCTCAAACTCCTGGGCTCAGGCGATCCTCTGCCTCGCCTCCAAGTAGCTGGACTACAGGCATGAGCCACCATGCCCGGCCTCATTTTTTCCATATATTTTTAGTTGGCCATTAGTTCTTTTCTATTTTAGTAGACACAGGGTCTTGCTCTTGCTCAGGCTGGTTTCGAACTCTTGACCTTGAATGATCCTCCCACCTCGGCCTCCCAGAGTGCTAGGATTACAACCATGAGCCACCAAGCCTGGCCTCTTTCTTTCTTTTCAATCTGAATGGCTCTTCTTTCTTTTTCTTGCCTTGTTGCACTGACGAGGATCTCAAGTGTAATTGTATACATATGCTTAAAGTCTATGGCGGGAGACGTTCTGCCTTATTTTTAATCTTATGGGGGAAGCATTCGGTATTTGACCATTGAGTATGTTGCCAGCCGCAGGGTTTTTGTAGTAGCACTTTCGTAGGTTAAGGACGTTCCTTTACAGTCTTATCAAGTATATTGGGTGTTTGGGGGCTCACGAATGGGTGTTTTACATTATCAGATTACTTTTCTGTTCCACATCTTGATAATAAGTGTTCTTTCCCTTTATTCCATTAATATGTTGAAATGCGTTGATGGACATTTAATGGAAAAATGACCTTGCATTCCTAAAATAAATTGTGCTTGGTAATGGATTATATTTTCCATATACAGTTGGATTAAAATTCCTAAAATTCCATTAGGGAGATTTGCATGTATGTTCATTAGGAATATTGGTTTGCAGTATTTTTTTTCTTCTAGGGTCTTTTCCTATTTTTGTCTATAGAAGTAATGCTGGATTCCTAAAATAATTTGGGCAGTGTTCCCTCCCTATTTTCTGAAAAAGTTCTTCCAGGACTGTTACTTTTCTGTTTTTAATGTTTGACACTGTTCACCAGTAAGTCTATCTAAGACTAACGTTTTCTTTATGGGAAAATTTTGAATTACAAATTCAATTGTAAAATCTTATAACCTTTTTTACTCTAACAAGTTCTTTAGAGATGATCAAGAATGAATTATATGTAGTTTAGAAGAGCACGCTTTTTTATTTCAGGATATTATAGGGGTACACACATTTTGGGTACATGTTATGACTTTGCCACACCCAAACCATGATTTGAGGTGTGACATTTCCCCCCACAATGCTCACCATGTCCAGCAGTATGCCTTTTAAAAAGTTCCCCAGGTTTTAAATGTCTTATTTTCCCAAAACGTCTCTTGTAGTCTTCTTTTTGGACCATAGAGATATTCTGCACATAATCTCTTGCCCCCAGGTGTCCATGGGTCTGCAGTGCCTGCAGTTTTCCTACACCTGGGCACCCTCCGCTTTCCATGGCTTCCAGCCCAAGATCCACACAATGCTCCCATTTCCTGTTTGATGTCTGAGTCTGGAAAGAGAGAAACATTCCCTACTGCAGCCCTCACACAGGCCGGAATGTTGCAAACAAACCCCACTTTCCCCTTCTGTCTTACGAGAAGGAACCAGGAGTTGGGCCTTTTCCTCCCAACAGCTCCATGCCATGCAGGAGAGGGGACAGGGAAGGGTGTGTAAAAATTCCATGGATTTTCTATCATTGTGTAGGAGGCTTTTTGTTGATTTGGTGTTCTTCTGGTTGTTGTAGATCTTTGGTTTTCAGACCTTTTATAAGGTTATTTTGTCCAGTCTCTTGGGTTGTCTCTTTGATATGTCCACAGGGGAACAAGAGTCTGGGGCTTCCTAGTCTGCCAGTTTGCTGACATCATTCATAATCACATGCCCAGTATTTAATACATATAGGAACATATATTCTATTTTTTCTTTAGTCAGTTTTGGTCTTTTATGCCTGTTAAGAAGTCTGTCCATTTCACCAAGATTCTTGAATTTATTGGAATATAGTTACTCAAAGTATCCTGTTATTATCCTTTTAATGTCTATAGGATCTGTTATACTACTCACACTCTCAGTTATGATAATGAGGGTCTTCTTTCTTCATTTTTGGACAGTCTATCTGGAGTTTTATCAGATCTATTGTTGTGACCATTTCAGAGAACCCGTTATTTATTTCAACAGTTTCTTTAGTTTGTTCATTTTCTATATATCAATTTCTGCTCTTTTTAGTTCTTTTCTTCTACACCCCTTGGTTTTACCCTGCTCATCTTCTTCTTCTTTTTTTTATTACCTTTCTAAAGTGCAATCTTAGATAATTATTCAAGCTTTTGTTCTTTTATAATATAAGCATTTAAAGAAATTAATTTCTACATTACTGCTGTAGCTGCATCTCACAAATTTTGGTATGTGTGTTTCCATTTTCAGTCAGTTCACAATATTTTCTAATTTGCTTTGTGACTTCTTCTTTGATCTGTGGAATGCTCAGAATTTTCCTGTTTAATTTCCAAGTATTTTTCAATTTTCTGATGCATTTCAGTTATTGGTTTGTTATTTAAATCTGTCATGGTCAGAGAACATACGCTGCATGATTTCAAGCCTTTTTTACGTTCAATGAAAAGTCTGTGTTGGATTGCCTTCAAATACATGTTTGTTGCTTTATTGGCTCCCTAAGGCAAGAATGGAGTGCTTTCAACATTTGTGCAGCAATGCATTCAGTGAAAATGGTGCCTGTGGGAACATCCCAGGCCAGTAAAGGGAGGTAGAATGAGAGCGTGTTAGCTTGGCAGAATAAGGTGCTCTTCTCTCGGCGAAATGGTCACAAAATGTAAAACTGTTTTCACACACTAAATGTTCATTCATGTCACTGTGGCTTATTACTTATCTGCAAATAGCATTTTGCTTCATTCAGCGTTCTTAAATATCAGTTATGTTCCAGGCCTGTGTTAGGGGTTGGAACTAACTTTGTGAAGTTTCAATGAGGAAACAGTCTGGTGACCGGTTTAGCTTGGGGTCTCAGAGTCAGCCTGCATGGGCTCATTGGGCAAGCGATTGAACCTTCCTGTCCCTGTTTCCATCTGGAAAATGGAAGTGACACCAGTTCTTTCTTCACAGGGTTATTGTTATATTAAATGTAGATGCCCTGGGCCCAGCGAGCTGGCTCACACCTGTAATCCTAGCACTCTGGGAGGCCGAGGCAGGCGGATTGTTGAGCTCAGAGTTCGAAAGCTTGAGCAAGTAGCAAACCATCTTACCCTAATAGAACAATTAGCAGGCATCGGTGGACAATGGCTGTATCCCGAGCTTATCAGGACGGCTATGCAGCTACTGGGACTATTGAGCCAGGAATTTGAGGTTGCTGTGGAGCTAGCTGATCACCTCCGGCACTCTGCCCGGCAATACAGTGAGATCCTGTCGAAAGAAGGAAAGAAAAGGGAAGCAAGAAAAGAAGAAAGAGAGAGGAAGGAGAAGGAAGGAACAGAGAAAAGAAGGAGAAGGAAGGAAGGAAAGAGGAAGGAAGGAAGGAAGGAGAAGAGAAGATGTAGATCATTGTTAAGGTTAAATTAAAACAATACCTGGCTTGTGTAAGGTCTTCAAAAACTGGTTATATTCAAATGAAGCGAGTGCCAGGAATGGTTACCCTTGCATAATGTTAGACTGGTCCTCTCATTAACATCCTTTTCCTATATTGTGAGTTCTATGAGGAGGGCACATGCCATGTTTCTCCCTTGGTGCTGGCCTGGTGCAGGCACAAGTAGAACTGAAATGTTGTTTGAGGAAGACAACAGGCTTTCTGTTTGGCGAGTAAGTGTCTAGTACACACCTCCCTAGTAATCGTTACCATGACCTTGAAAATGCATTGTTAGATGAGAAGGTTAGATGCATAGGTTACCCTGACGTAGAACTGTGTATTGTACAAGGGAAAGACCTTGCCTGCTTTTTACCTTTTTAAAAATGCATGTGTCCTCGGTATTTAGA